GAATGCTACACAGCCATAAAAAGGAAGGAGATCATGTCTTTTGCAGCAACATGGATGAAACTGGAGGCCCTTATCTTTAGCAAACTAATGCAGGAACATAAATAATTCTGCACATTTTCATTTATAAGTGGGAGCTAAATAATGAGAACACATGGACCAAATCATGGAGCTTATTTAATAAGTTTATTTCCAACATTAGCTCTGATTAGTTCATTTCCAAGCCCATAACCCATGGAGGGAATCAGATGGGTGATGCCAGCAGTTCCTGATCCTCTGTCATAGAAGCCAGGCAGAGCCCACGTAGCAGGGCCACTGAAACATGATCCATCCAAAGTGTTTCCTGAGCTCCCTCTGCCCTCTGGACACTCTTCAAGTGTGGTAAGTCTGGAGTAGGTGCTAATTCCCTTCGTGAAATAGATGCAGCTGGAGACCATTATCCTAAGTGAATTAACACAGGAACAGAAAATCAAATAACACCATGTTCTCACTTAAAAGTGGGAGGTAAACATTCAGTACGCATGGACACAAAGAGGGAAACGATAAATACTGGGCCCTACTTGAGGGTAGAGAATGGGAGGAGGGTGAGGGACAAAAAAGTACCTGTCAGGTACTATGCTCACGTCCTAGCTGATGAAATTATTTTACACCTAACTCCAGCAACATGTAATTTACCTATGTAACAAACCTGCACATGTACTGCCTGAACCTAAAATTAAAATTGAAAAAGAAACAATAAGCCTTTGTTCGTTTGAGGTAGTCTTACTGTGTCACCCAGATTGGAGTACACAGTGGCACAATCTTAGCTCAGTGCTGTCTTAAACTCCTGGGTGCAAGGAATCCTGCCTCAGCCTTCCAAGTAACAGACTACAGGACCACACCATGATGCCCTGCTAACTTTTCAAAAAACTTTTGTAGAGATGGTATCTTGCTTTATTGTTCAGGCTAGTCTTGAACTCCTGGGCTTAAGCAGTCCTCCAGCCTTTGCCTCCAAAGTGCTGAGATTACAGACATGAGCCACTGCACTTAGTCAAGAACTCTTTTTTTGTGAGCTGTCTGATTGCTGTAATTAGAATTCCTTTTTGATGTGATTCTGTTACCTTGAAACAGGCTTACATTTTTTTCTTTATCAACTTTATTGGGGTATAATTTACATTCTTAAAAAGTACCCATTTTAATTGTACAGTTTGAGTTTTGACAAATGTAGTTTACACTTCCACATTTTCTTCTACCTCTTTGTATTCAGTGACCCCGTTCTATTCTGACCTGCTCTTGTTTGTCATAGATTTGTTTTTTTTAAAAAAATCAGTTTCCTTGAGGCATAATTTGCATACTATAAAGTACATCCTTTTGATTACCTTTTCATTAATCATTTTCCTGTCACCGGAACATTTCTTTTCCTTCACCACTAAGACATTGCATAAAGATGTAGAGTCACGTAAGTCTCAGAGAAGAGCTTTGATTCCACCTTGTCTTAAAATTATATGTAATTTGTTAGTCAATTCAGAGTTGAGAACATATTGAAGTACTTAATAGATAGAATGTTCTATAAGCAAGCATTATTAAAAAGTGTGACCATTTTATTTTGGCAGCTAGTAGGTGTTGGTTTGAAACTTAAGAGGCCACGTGTTTTCATAGGGATAAATTCCTAATGTCTGCTTGAACATGTCCATTTCTTTGTTCATGAGCTGTTTTGTTATTTTAGTTATAGATTCCTTCCCTTCCTTTGCTCTTCTTCCTTCTCACCCCCTACCCCTTTTTTTGGTTTTTGTTTTTGTTTTTGTTTTTTTAACCCAAACCCATCCAATTATTGATGTTGGCGGTAGGGACAGGTTTGTTCCTCCTTTGAGGTGGTTACTGTTGTACCTTCATGGAATTGTCCCGCTTTGCTACTATTCTTTGCCATTGTTACTACACTTCTATTCGCTACTATTCTTTTTACTCCTGCTTTTCTTTTTCATTTTTTCTTACATTTGGATGATATTATATAGTTTCTGAAAGCTTTTCAGCACATAACAGGAACCAAACTTTATGGTGACTGTGGGCTCTTACTGTTTCAAAGAAATATAGAGGATGGTAGACTATTTTGGGTTTACTTGTTGGTTTAAGAGACAGGATCTTCTTGCCTTTTCACCTAGGCTTCAGTGTAGTGGTGTGATTATAGCTTACTATGGCCGTAAACACCTGGCCTCAGGCTATTCTTCTGCCTCAGTCAAGTAGCTGGGACTGGAGGCACAAGCCACCACACTGGTCCAAGGCAGATTGTTTAAAGAATTCCAGGATATTTTGGGCAGGCGGGGTGGCTTATGCCTGTAATCCCAGCACTTTGGGAGGCTGAGGTGAGTGTATCACCTGAGGTCAGGAGTTCGAAGACCAGCCTGGCCAACATGATGAAACTCTGTCTCTACTAAAAATACAAAAATTAGCTGGATGTGGTAGCGGTCACCTGTGATCCCAGCTGCTCGAGGCTGAGGCAGGAGAATTGTTTGAATCCAGGAGACAGAGGTTGCAGTGAGCCAAGATCACACCACTGCACTCCAGCCTGGGCAAGACAGAGTGAGACTTTGTCTCAAAAAAACAATGATAATAATAATTATTCAGTTTCTGTTTAGAAGTTTTCAAGATCCCAGATAACCTGAATTTTATGTACTGTAGGTTGGAGGTGGAGGTGTAGGGATAGGGATAGTTTTTGACAATAACAGACAAAAAGACTGTTAGTCTGAGAAGTGGAAAATCCAGAGGTTACTAATAAGATCCTAGATGGCTAGAACACTGAATTTCTATCACTTAGTGTAATGTAGGATTTATAAACATTTATTTTCTGGATAAAAATAATAAAGATGAGAGATTATTTGGAATAAGAAACAAAATGTAATTCTCATACAAATATAAAGGCAATCTACCTTGAAGAGATAGTAGATACGCAAGGGAAGATTTTTGGAATACAACCTTAGTTCAAGTTTAGGTACCGTTAGGTCCTCTGCAACTTTAAATGAATTTAAGGTTAATGAATTAGCAATTTGGTTATAAAGCCCAGACTCGGTTAATGAGAGCTCGTTTGCTTTCCTTCTTGGTGTTGATTATAATCTTTGCCTCTTGTAACTATTTTTTAAAATTAATGTGTGCTGAGCGTCTCCTCCCTTCTTTGTAAATTTGCTTTCTTCCATTTTGTTACAAATTGCCGATTAGTTTATTATTTTTTTAATTGACTCCAGAAGCTCTGAGATCCTAGAGTATTAAAGTTAAGATAAATGAAGTGATGCTACCAGGAAAATGTTTTGAACTGGTGCTAATATCATTTACATAAAAATGAGAACAAAGATTTTATTTATTAAACCGTAGAAGCGTAGTATTCTTATAGCTAAAAAGAATATTTTTTAATGAGAAAAATATCATGGGTAAACCCACAGCTGTATAGGAAATGTAATGTATTTTCAGAAATTGAAGCACAGAGGATTTAAAATGTGAATGGATATATTTTCCATAACACATCGTATGTAATTTTGTTTCCTAATATTAATGCTGAAATTTATGTAACTTCAAATTTTTGTCACCATAACTTTGATACTAAAAATAATTAGATACTATTTTACCTTGTTTATTGAGTAGAATTAAAATTAAATACAATGTAGCTTTTTGTTCCTTTAAATATTAAAAAAAAGTAATGTTTACCAAACCTAGGGTTTTTTTCCCGTTCAAATGAAGGAAAGCTGTTCAATATGAATACCTATCTAGAACCATAATAGTAAAGAGGAGCAGGATTGAAATCAATCAGTCAAACCATAATAGATATGATATGATATATCGTCAAAGGATGTATTACTGATGCCTCCTTGGTTTTTCCACACAAACATATTAATTGACTGGTTTTGTTTTTGTTTTCATTTTTGTTTTGAGACAGAGTCTTACTGTGTCACCCAGGCTGGAGTGCAATGGCATGATCTCGGCTCAGTGCAACCTCCATTTCCCGGGTTCAGGCGATTCTCCTGCCTCAGCCGCCTATTACAGGCACTCACTACCACATCTGGCTAATTTTTGTATTTTTAGTAGAGACAGGATTTCATCATTGTGGCCAGGCTGATCTTGAACTCCTGACCTCAAGTGATCCACCCACTTTGGCCTCCCAAAGTGCTGGGATTACAGGAATGAGCCACTGCTCCCGACCCAATCCACTGTACTTTTAAAAAGTAATAGTGGAAAATAATCAGAGATCCAAAATACCTGGTTTCAGTTACTTGGAAGTTCAAATGTTTAATTCCTTTGTGTATATTGTTATATTGCATTTGTATTAGAGAAGGTAAAATATAATAAAATTGATGCTCTGAAGTGTATCATTCCCATCAATTATCTTCCATGGAATGATGACTTAATAGACTAGCAAAATTGGAAACTTTGTGCCGTGGACTGTTGAGGTGTGTACAAAAATCAAAGATACAAGCTGCTTCCAGAAATATCTAAGTCCAGTAGTAATCACAAAACACAAACTCTTGTAAGTGAATGGCAGATATTATAATCGTGTTAACAATGGGTGAGAATACATAAAATCTGCCGTTTTGACCACTGTTAAGTATACAGTTCTGTGGTATTAAGTGTATTCATATTATTTTTTAACCATCACCATCCTCCATCTTCAGAGCTTTTTTATCTTCCCCAACTGAAACTCTTACGTCCATTTAATAGTAACTCCCCACTCTTCTTTTCCCTGCCCCTGGTAACAACTATTCTACTTTCTGTCTATGATTCTGACTACTTTAGTTTTCCTATTATTAAACAATCTTTTTGATCACTAGCCTAGCACATAGTAGGTATTCAATAAATTTCTTAATTAAATGTCAGTTAGAAATTGAAAGGCATGGCTTATGTCAGTGGATTGACTGTATATCTTATGTGCACCAAAACTGCCAGTTATTGTTACAATAATCTTGTTAATTCATAGGAAACCTTTTGTTTTCTCAAGGATTTTTTATTTAAATTTTTTTCACCTACTTTACTTTTTTTTTTAGACTGAATCTGGATATGGATCTGAGTCCAGCTTGCGTCGACATGGCTCAATGGTGTCACTGGTATCTGGAGCAAGCGGCTATTCTGCAACATCCACCTCTTCATTCAAGGTGTGTAGTTAGTGGATGCCTTAAGTTAAAGCAACATAAATTGAGTTTAGTATTGGATGTGTGAAAGGAACATATTTGATAATTTTTTGAACAAACTTTAATATACTTTATTTGAACTTATTAGAGAAGTACTTCTTAAGGTATAAAATAATAACTCATACAAATGAATACGTGTCACTGATTTTATTTTATTCATTGTAAACTATTTTAAAAAAACTGGTTCAAAGGAAAATCTGAAGAATACTGAAATGTTTTGCGAATATGTGCAAAACTGGTCAATATCTTCAGATTAATAGTCAATACCTCTGCACCAAACAAAATTTATTTGCATCTCTATGAACAAGAATTATTTATACTACTCAGTTTTCTACTAAAACAGTTGCAAAATAGCTCAAATGCAATGAAAGGCAAAAATGTCTATATGATCAAACAGTACTCTCCCAAGGGTAGCATAGATGACAAGTCACCATTACTTTGAAAGGACGCTAGTAATATTTTTGCCCATTTCAAAGTCTTTCACAGTTGTTTCTCACAATTCGTTTAATTTGAAACTATCAAATGTTATATTAGCAGACTGTCAGGTATTAATGCTTTCTTATTTGTTATAAAAACTAAGGCTTATCATTTATAAGTGATATCACTTACCAGATTATCACTCATAAGTAGCTTATCACTATCAAGACAGTAGATTAAGTTTCAAGCCTATTCCTAGAAGTACTATACTGAACTAAACAGCTCTCCTTATCCCATGCCCTCAATGATAAGGTGCAGACCTTAAAGGTTGATGAAAAAACATAGGACCAAATAAAATCCGGTTTTGTTTTACTTGAATTACATCCCACTATTTTGTGTTTTGCAGAAAGGCCACAGTTTACGCGAGAAGTTGGCTGAAATGGAAACATTTAGAGACATCTTATGTAGACAAGTTGACACGCTACAGAAGTACTTTGATGTCTGTGCTGATGCTGTCTCTAAGGATGAACTTCAAAGGGATAAAGGTTAATTAGGCTATTACCACTATTTTTAACTTGGAGAATGAATGGATTAAAAGCCTCTTGATCTCAAAGGGTAATGTCTTTAAGTGATAAAGGTATTTATAGTCATTTTTGCTGCAAACCCACAGTATAACAGATTTCAGTGTCCTTGTAACTTGAGTACTTCAGTTACACATACTAATTCATATTGATCATCCATACCTGATTCCATTGAAGATCTTTATTGTATTTATTTACTTTTTTATCGAGACATGATCTCATTCTATTGCCCAGGCTGGAGTGCAGTGACACGATCATAGCTCACTGCAGCCTCGAACTCCTGGCCTCAAGCAGTCCTCCCACCTCAACCACTCAAGTAGCTAGGACTACAGCTAGGGCATCACCACGCCCAGCTAATTTATTTTTCTATTTTTTATGGAGACGGGGACTCACTATGTCACTCAGGCTGGTCTTGAACTCCTGCCCTCAAGCAATCTTCCCACCTCAGCCACCCAAATTGCTGGGATTATAGGCATGAGCCACCACACCAGGCGAAGACTTTCAAATGATACTCTTTATTCCATTTTTTTAAAATGGCATCTATTATCTTGGTAATATGGAGCATTTCACATTATTATTATTATTATGTCTGATAAATTTACCCCATGATGAGCCTCAGAGATAAGCATATGTTAAATCCTTCAGATCTGGAATCAGCCAGTTGATCTCTTTTTCTCCCTCTTGCCCTCTTGTTTCTCTTTTTCTCCCTCTCCTTTCTGTCTTTTCCTCTGTCTCTTAATCTCTCCTTTTCTCTGCCCTTTTTCTCATAGAAGAAGAAATCAGTAATAGAAATGAAAATAATAATTTTATGTACATTTAAAAATAATTTTATTGAGGCCAGGCATGGAGGCTCACTCCTGTAATCCTAGCACTTTGGGAGGCCAAGGCAGGTAGATCACAAAGTCAGGAGATCAAGACCAGCCTGACCACAATGGTAAAACCCCATCGCTACTAAAAAAAAAAAAAAGCAGGTGAGGTGGCAAGTGCTTGTAATCCCAGCTATTCTGGAGGTTGAGGCAGGAGAATTGCTTGAACCCAGGAGGCAGAGGTTGCAGTGAGCCAAGATCGTGCCACGTCAGTCCATCCTGGGCTACAGAGCGAGACTGTCTCAAATAATAATAATAATAATAGTAATTTTATTGAGTTTTTATTTAAAAGAAATAAGGTATCTTCAATTAACTTTTAGTATTATTAGGTTTATAGTTTAACTTTCCTTTGTTGGTGCTGAAAACACTGTTGATGTTAACATTGTTCTTCAGCTTTTCACGTAATTTATTGTGATGGCAAAAATGAATTACTGTACCATTATTACCATACAGGACTAAGTCCATCCCCAGTATGACTAGGTTGCTTGACGTGGTTTCATTTCTCAGTCTTATTAAATGTGTCTGATCGGGATCCAAGTTCTTTTTGTCTTCTCTATTCTATATTCCCTTTTTCTGCCTTCTTTGGATTAAGTTTTCCTTTTTCTTTTTTTTTTTTTTTTTTTTAATAATTTCACTTTATCTCCTTTGTTGGCTTCTTAACTTTTGGTTTTGTTACCTTAGTGGCTACTTTAAAGTTTATAGTTTACATATTTAACCTTACTACAGTCTACCTTCAAGTAATATACCACTTTATGTGTAGTATCAGAACCTTCCAAAAATGTATTTCTTTCTCTAACTCCTAAGTTGAGACTCTACTGATTTCTCACCAATTCTCTGTGAAATATTAGATTTTCCAGTCTGCATTGTAGGCCAGATACTTTTCTCTGCTCCCATGTACGCTTCAGGTGCTGTTTCTTAGAATCCTTTAAGAAGGTTCTATCCCTCGCCTTTATTGTTTGCTCAGTTGCACGTGCTATCAGTACTCTGCAGAATACCCATGGGTAGCCTCCTGCCGATCTCCAGCATTCTCTGTCCAGTTCTCTCCTCTCTAGTACTCTGCCTTGTGAACTACTTCTAGTTGCCTTTGTCTCTCTGGATGCTCAGCTTCATCTCCTCATTACAGGGAATCTACAAGGCTCCTCCTGGGTTCCCTGTGCTTACTGTATAGTTTGGAAACTCCTAAAACAATGAGCTAGAGCATGCATAAAGCTCACTTCATTTGTTTCCTATTAGGGATCATTGACCTTTGTTGTCTGGTAGCCAGTGTCTTGAAAAGCATTGTTTCATATATTTTGTCCAGTTTTTTTAGTTTTATGTTAGAGAGTAAATTCAGTCCCTATTATTTCATCTTGAACAGAAGCAGATAAACATATTCCTCTTAAAGTTCTCAATTTTGTGTAAATTTAGTAGCCTGGAAGTTATTTTCTGTTTGATTGATTGATTCATTGATTGACTGACTGATGTAGTAGACAGAGTCTCTTTCTGTTGCGCAAGCTAGAGTGCAGTGGAATGTTCATAGCTTCCTATAACCTTAAACTCCTGGGCTCAACCTCCCAACTAGCTAGGACTACCGGCATACACCATCACAGCTGGTCAATTTTTAAATTTTTTGTTGAGATGAGGTCTCACTATGTGGCCCAGGCTGGTCTTAAACTCCTGGCCTCAAGGGATTCTCCCACCTCAGCTGCCCAAAGTACTAGAATTACAGGCTTGAGTCATTGTGCCTGGCCTTGAAGTTTTTTCTGTTTGTTAATGTAAAAACTTATATTGAAATTTTTGGTTCATTAATGTGTGATTTTTTTTTCCTCTAGGAATAAAAAACACTTGAACTTCTGTTTCTCCATTAAAAAAAGATACCTTTTAATCAATTTAAACATTACATGTTAGCTTTATTATGCTTGCAAATAGCCCTTTAAGCAAAAACAAGATACATATAGAATATGATGCCTTATTTATCATTTAATGGTCCATACCAATAGTGTATAGTACTTGAAGGACAAAAGTGACGGTGAAAAAAGTAGAAGTTGGGATGCAGTGATAACCAGGTTGTGTAGATGATTTGAAAAATAATATTAGACATTACAGTGAATCTTTTCTGCTACATGTTTAAATAAATAGCAACAATGTAGACTAATGTTTTAGTTTGCTAGGACTGCCCTAACAAAGTACTGCAGACTGGGTGGCTTAAACAACAGATTTATTTTCTCACAGTTCTGAGATAAAGATATTATTAGCAGGTTGGTTTCTTCTGAGGACCATGAGGGAAAGACCTGTTACAGGCCTCTCTCCTTGGCTTATAGGTAGCCATGTTCTACCTGTGTCTTCACATCATCATCTTTCCCTTTGTATGTGTCTATGTCCAAATTTCCTCTGCATATTATGTAGTCATACTGGATTATTGCCCATCCTAATGACCTCATTTTAACTTAACTTCTGCTTTACATACCTTGTCTCCAAATAACAGCCATATTCTGAGGTACTGGTGGTTAAATACTTCAACATAGGAATTTCTGAGATACAACTCAGCCTCTAACTGATTTCCCTACAAATGTTATTTATAAGATACTGATTGATTGACTGATCCTTTGATTTTTATTTATTTATTTTTCGAGACAGGGTATCCCTCTGTCACCCAGGCTAGAATGCAGTGGCACAATCTTGGCTCACTGTAACCTCCGCCCGTAGGCCCAAGCAATCATCCCACCTGAGCCTCCCTGAATAGTTGGGACTACAGGTGTTCACCACCATGCCCAGCTAATTGTTGTGTTTTTTTTGTAGAGGCAGGGTTTCACCATGTTGCCCAGGCTGGTCTCAAACTCCTGAGCTCAAGCAATCTGCTTGCCTCTGCCTCCCAAAATGCTGAGATTACAGGCGTGAGCCACCATGCCCAGCCTGAAATGCTGATGTTTTTGAGAATACATGCTGGGTAAAGGAGAGATAAGGACATGGACCATAATTTCCTACTTGGCAAAGCAGAGTCACTGACCTGAGTTTAAGAATCTCTGTGGATATACTGTCATTAAATTATAAAAACTAATTTAATGACTTAAATAATTTTAAGAATCACTGTCCTTCTTTATGTATCTCCTTCAGTAATATTTAATTAACATTTTAAATCTGGATACTGTGAGGATTACAGAAGTGGAAGACATCACCTCTTACTTACCTAAACACATTGTTTAATTTTAAAAACAAGACATATATACCACATTAAAAGTAAAATTTCTTCTAATCTTGTTCTTCTATTTATTGTTTAATGACTTGAAGTAGATTTCTCAACATTTCTCAACACCTGTTTCCTCAACTACAAAATAGTTATTATATCTAGCACCTGTGATTGTGAGGATTAGATGATAATGTGTATGTTATAACTATATTTAAAAGCAAAAACTCAATAAATAATGGCTGTTATTATTAGTATGGTTAATTTGAATTGTTGCTGGGGTAACAGGAAGCAGGAATGTACAAGGTCCAAAGGTGGAATTTAGCGTAATAGACTCAAATGTTGGTAAGGGAGACCAGTCTGACTAGAATGGAGGAACTTTATATTAGGATGGTGGTTTCAAACCATGTGAGATATCCCTAAGATACAAAGTTGCCTCAGGGATGCACAAGGAGTTGTTTGGTGGCAGTGGAGGGGCAGGGAAGGAAGGCCACTCTTTTAGTGAGAGTAGCTTATTTTCTTTTTCCTTTTTTTTTTTTAAGAAAGGGTTTCACCATGTTGGCCAGGCTGGTCTTGAACTCCTGATTTCAGGTGATCTGCACACCTTGGCCTCCCAAAGTGCTAAGATTACAGGCGTGAGCCACCACACCTGGCCAAGAATAGCTTATTTTCATCAGTTTTATATATTACTGGCCTTAATCAAAAGCTGAAAATCCCTGTTTGATGCTAGTAGACTATTAGGTAGAGAATATTGAACACAAGAACAGTTACGATTTAATGTAAAAAATAATGTTCACATTGGTAATTTGAAAAGTTACTGTTTAGGCAAGGATATAAGTTGAAGTTAATATTTTTAAAAGATTAATCATTGTAGGTAATTGTAACATAGATTAGAATGGTGAGAAACTTTAGATAGGAGAAAATCATGTGGTAACCCATTGTAGTAATGTGAGCATCTGTAAATGAGCCTCTGGATCAAGCGTGAAGAATAGAGGAAATCCATTAGAGGAGAGTTGCCATGATTAATTTTTGTAATGTTTTATAGTATTTACTATGTAATGTGTTCAATACTTCAGTTATCTGATATAATTTTATAATAACCTTATTATGTAGGTATAAATATTTTAAACCCTCTTTATAGACGAGAGAACTGCCCAGAGAAGCTAAGCAGCAATGTTTGCACAGCTGATTTGTTTATGGAGCTACTTTTAGATATATTTTTAGTAGTAGAAATTTCTTTGAAGAAATTCTATGGGAGATGTGAACGTGGTGTTAGTATAAGAAGTCACAGGAAAATAAATTAACGAGTCATTAGCATAAAAAATAGTTGGAGTTATAATAGTGAATAAATTCCCATGGGGTAGAAGAACAAATATCTAAGGAAGGAGACTTGAAGTTTGCCCACAGCTAAAGAGGGAAAGGAAATTTAATTTTTAAAACAAACATAAAATTAGGGTCATGTTAGCAAGATGTGAGACTCATCAAGGCTGTTTGGTCTTGTCAAGTAGAAATTTGACATGTAAGCCTGAGCAGTGTCAAATACAGCATAGGGGTCAAGAAAGAGATGGGGGCAAACCATAAAAACAGATTTTATTAAAAGATCGTTAACCTTTGAAAAATCTTTTTTTTTTTTTTTTTCTTTGAGACATGGCTTTGCTCTTATCACCCAGGCTGGAGTACAGTGGTATACTCATAGCTCACTACAGCCTCAAACACCTGGGCTGTTTTGTAGAGATGAGGTCTTGCTGTTTCCCAAACTGGTCTCAAACTCCTGACCTGAAGTGATCTTCCCACCGAGGCCTCCTGGAGTGCTGGGATTACAGATGTGATGACACTCAACCTGAAAAAACTATACTGTATCTGTTTGGGGGTGGAGGGTTATGGTTAAAGGTGTAGTTTGAGAGGATGATTTAATGTGCTAGTGGCTGAGAAATATTTGGGTGACAAAAATAAATAAATGTCTGGCTGATATTGTAATCATCTCAGGGAGCTTTAAAAAAGAAACAATTATACCATACCCTTCACCATAGCCCCACTAAACCACAACATTCGGGGGTTGAGGGGAGAGAGAGATATTAAGGTTTTGTTCTTCAAAAGTTCCTTTATAGGTGGATAACCAAACGTTCATTGATATGTGGATACCCTCCATAGTAGAAGTATAAGGTAGCATTATAAACAAGCTTCCTGAAGGCAGAAGGAAAGCACAGCAGAAAGGGGAAAACAAATACTCTACAGAAGGCTTTCGAGTTTTCCGAGAAAACAAATCCATCAAATTGTGAATATGTCAAATGTAGAGCAAACGAAATATCTCCTGCTTCTGTAGAAAAGAATGCATGAAGGTAGAATTGAAGACTAACAAACTGCTTTAATTTTTCATTGATATGATGCAAAAAAAAAAATAGGGAAATTTTAAAAGGCCCCAGGAAGTAAAGATCTCAAAAGGTACTTGAAGGTCATCTTTATGGGATTATGCCAGGGAACTAATTTGGGCATAGTTGTATTGTAACTTCAGCTGATGGTCAGCATGTTTTTTTATCTGAATATGGTTTAAAAATAATGTATCCAAAGACATTCCACAGCATATTTATTGAGCATACAAGATCTTACTCATCTTTGTATTTTCATTGGTAATCAAGGTGTACTCATATGGAAGTCTGTAGGAATGCTGGAAATGGAAAAGAAAAACAATTGCATATTGAGATCACAGCCAGGTAGAAATGAATACAAGGTAATAGCAGATTTTGATTTGTAAAAATTGTTACAGATGATTGGCAACATTTTCAAGTGATTATTAAAAAATGAAATAGTCCAGTAGTTAGAAAATGGCAGTATGGAAGATTTTCCTTGGTGATTCTTACCATTTAGTCAAAGGAGGGAAATGAGGTATCGACTGGGACTCTGCATCCATAAAAAAGACAGCTAAAGTAAATGAGATGTTCTTGTAGAGCCAAGGTACTCCTGAAGTAAAAAGATACAGGCAATAAGTAAGACATTAGTTTAAAATGAAGATTCCTTCTTTAGAAAGGGAGTTCCTCAAAAGATAAATAAAGGAGTTACGTAGGCTGGGTGCAGTGGCTTACACCTGTAATCTCAGCATTTTGGGAGGCAGAGGTGGGCAGGTTGCTTGACATCAGGAGTTCAAAACCAGCCTAAGCAATATGGTGAAACCTCGTTTCTACAAAAAAATTAGCTGGGCATGGTGGTGTACACCTGTGTTTCCAGCCTCAAGAGGCTGTGGTAGGAAGATTGCTTGAGCCCATGAGGTGGAGGTTGCAGTGAGATGAGATCATGCCACTCATCTTTGAGCCTGACTTTGAGCCTAGGCAACAAAGTCAGACCCTGTCTCACAAAAAGAAGAAGAAGAAACCATCAAAAGCTTCATAAAAGCAGCAAATAACATTGGGAGCTACGATGCAGGAATTTGCATTATGAGTGGAACACATAGTACAGAGAATTAAAGTATGTTAGGTAGAGAAAAAGGGACAGCACATAGAAGAAAGAGGTACATTAAAGTAGAACAAAAGAGATTCTGTTTTTTTCTGGACTTAGAGAAGTTAAAAGGGATGTCCAGGTACAGATATATACTGGGATGAATGAAAATTGATATCATATCTGTTATATTTTCCCTGCACATCCAGAAATAGTATATTTAAGAACTCTCAGCTGGACATGGTGGCTCACGCCTGTAATCCCAGCACTTTGGGAGGCTGAGGTGGGCGGATCATAAGGTCAGGAGTTCAAGACCAGCCTGACCAACATAGTAAAACCCCATCTCTACTAAAATAAAATAAAAAATACCCAGGTGTGGTAGCACATACCTGTAGTCCCAGCTACTCGGGAGGCTGAGGCAGGAGAATCAGTTGAACCCGGGAGGCAGAAGTTGCAGTGAGCCGAGACCATGCCATTGCATTCCAGCCTGGGTGACAGAATGAGACTGTCTTAAAGGAAAAAAAAAAAGAACTCTCAGAGGCAAGCTAAGGTGTCTTCTGCATGGAAGGTACTTTTTATAGACCTGTTCAGCCCTCTGGTCCTCCTAGAGAGTTGAAGTGTCCTCATTGAAGGGAGCAAGAGACAGGATGACTACAGGGTGAAATAATTCATAGCTCAGTAACCTTCCCTTACACAAATGAGAATGAATATGGTTTAAAAATAATGTATCTAAAGACATTCTACCGCATATTTATTGAGCATACCTTGATTACCAGTGAAAGTACAAGCATTAGTAAGACGTCGTACTCACAGAATCAGAATCCAAAGTAAAATGATTCTGTTGAACATAAGAATAGACATTAACTTCTATTTTTTTATCCTGATTTTTTAAATGTGTTTTATTTAGTGGTAGAAGATGATGAAGATGACTTCCCTACAACACGTTCTGATAGTGACTTCTTGCATAATACCAATGGCAATAAAGAAAAGTGTAAGTAATACATTTTTCCCCTCAGGTGGATAAAATATACTTTCAGAAGTTAACAACCCACAAAGAATAATTACCTAATTGAGTAATTTTTTTTAAAGCAATAGAACTGCTGGAATCCAAGTGAAAATATCTTCCAAGACATGTAGGTAACATCACATTCTGACATTATGTAATAATGGTAACTTTTACATATGGATGTCCAGATGTCCCAGCATCATTTGCTGAAAAGACATTTTTTTTTTCTGCTTTGAATTGCCTTGGCACCTTTTTGAAAAACTGATGGACCATAAATGTGAGGGTTTATTTCTGGACTCTCAATTCTGTTGAGTTGATGTACATGCCTATTCTTATTAAGAAAATACAAGTTTTTTTAAAAAAGCTTTATTGAGATATAATTGGTGTACCATTTAAAGTGTATAATTTGATAAATTTGGATATTTTCATGAAACTGTCAGCACAGTCAAATGTTTTCTCCATCCCCTTTGTCATTCCTCTCTCCCCCATTCCCAAACAACCACTGATCTATTTTCTGTCACTATAGATTAGTTTGTATTTTCTATAATTTAATGTAAATTGACTCATACAGTTTGTATTCTTTTTTGACCTGGCTCTTTTTTAGTTTGAGATTCATCATTATTGTTGCATGTATCAGTAGTTGAGTTCTTCTCACTGCTGAGTGGTATTAGATACACCATAGTTTGTGTATCTATTCATTCACTGGTGGACATTTGGGTTGGTTGCAGTTTTGGCTATTACAAATAAAGCTGCTATGAGCATTCATATACAATTCTTTCCATGGACATCTATTGTATTTCTTTTGGGTAAATACCTAGGGGTAGAATGTCCAAATCATATGGCAGGTGTGTGTGTTTAATTTTTAAAGAAAATGCCAGATTGCTTTTTATCAGCCATTTATGAGAGTTCCAGTTCCTCCACATCCCCACCAACACTTAAGATGGTCAGTCTTCAAATTTCAGTCATTCTAATAGGTGTGTAGTGATATGTCATTGTGGTTTTAATTTGCATTTCCCTACTAGCTAGTGATATTAAGCGTCTTTTCATGTTTTTATTTGCCATTTCTATCTTCTCTTTGGTGAAATGTGTCTTCACATTTTTTGATCATGTCGGGGTGGTGTTTATTATTAATGAGCTTTGAGATTACCTCATATGTTCTGGAAAGAAGTCCATTATTAAATATATGCCATGCAAAGGTTTTCTCCCAATTTGTGGCTTATCTCTTTATCCTCTTAACAATGTTTTCAAGAGCAGAAATTTTACATTTTGATTAAGTTTATCTGTTTGTTCTTGATGGCTTATATCTTTACTGTCCTGTCTCTAATAGTTTTTAAAGTCAGAAGTGTCATTATTTAATTTATAAGGATTCTACTAAAACGATTTCTTATTAACTATAGAATATTATGCTTTCTTGTTTGTATCTTGTGAGTTTTAAGATTTTTTTGTTTAATTCAAAAGCTAACCATGAATTAAAATAAAATTTAACCATAAAAGGCATTGAGTTTAAATAGTGCATTGGTTCTAGATTTAAATTTGTATATTCATTTTAAAATTGTATGTTACCTTATTAGACTCTGTAGTTTATCTTAAGATGTTTTTTAAATTCTAGATTTCTCAAAATGTAAGGTAGTTCTTGCCATAATTAGGTGTTACTCTAAGCTGTCAGAATGTTATTGTTAAAGTATTACTCCTCCTACCACTTGATTAATTGGGTGCAGCACAGCAAATGAGTTTCAGGAAACAGAATCTAGAAAGACTGACTTGAAAGTACATATGCTGCCACAAAGCTTCTTTGCTCATAGAGCTTGGATAGGAGGTTTTTAAATGTTGGCCCACAGAAGGAAAATTAAAACCCCAAAACCTGTTTTCACTTGCTAATTTTCTAAACATTTTCTAATCTTAAATTGTGATGAGTTATTTCTTTATTAGAAATATTTTCAGTAAATAACTTTCTTTTTCAGTATTTCCACATGTGACACCAAAAGGAATTAATGGTATAGACTTTAAAGGGGAAGCAATAACTTTTAAAGCAACTACTGCTGGAATCCTTGCAACACTTTCTCATTGTATTGAACTAATGGTTAAACGTGAAGAAAGCTGGCAGAAGAGAATGGATAAGGTAAGACTAAGGTTTTTTTCCTTTTAAAAATAATCATATTTTATTTAAGTTTTATAGATTGTTTGAATATTTAAGCCAAGCTAACTTCTTAGGGAAGAATCTTGGGCTGATAGAAATCTCAGATGATACTACTCCTCTGAAGCTTTATGGGCATCTTAAACTCATTTGTGTAACAGAATTCACCAGTTACTTGTTTAGTTACTATACAATGCTTTCTTGAAAGCTTTCTTTCATTTTATGCTGATGTTAGTGATGCTTTGGAGTAGAAGTGTTAAGCCATTTAACATTACCTGCCTTTAAGTGTATGAGTATGAAACTGTATTTAAGGTATATGAACTAACTTATATGCCAATTTACACAGTTAAACATTTACTTATTACAGCAACACTCATATATTTTTTCAATGGTCAGTGATAACATTTAACATACATTATGTTGTTTGATCATTTGCCCTATGTTCACATTTTCTCACCTGTGTTTAAACACAGCACTGATAATAATATTACAGTATGACTCTTTAGTTTCTAGTGTGAGGTATGGCTCAGTGGATTTAAGTAGGAAAACTTCTGTTTATGATTCAACTTTAGAAAAATAGTAAAATGTTAGAATTGAAACATACCTTAAAGTTCTAATCCAATGCCATCATTTTATAGAAGGAATTGAGTGAGGCTCAGAGGCTTATCAAAAGGTGATTAACAGAGTAAGAGGAATTTTTTTCTAGTGTTCTATATCAGCACTGGATACCAAATTAGACATTGGCCAGAATCATATTCATTCTTAAGCTCTGCAGAGTTTGAAGGCCTTTGAATTTGGGCAGGACACTAAAGAAAGCAATGTTAGCACTATGTGTTTAGAAAGTTTCCCATGTTTTAGAAGAAAGGAGAACTGTTCAGAATGCACAAGTGCAGGTGAGAGTAAGGCATTTTGACTAGCAATATGTCTTCTTTTAAAATAGGCAACGAAAACTTTTTTTTAAGGTATAGAAAATTTATTATCATCCTGGAGCCAAACTATTATATCTTCAAAGATTTCAACTCTATACTCAGTGTGGATCAAATTGAATTATTAGAAGAGTCCCTGTTTACACAAAAAATAATACATTGAGAAACAGGACAACTCCCTAAATACATTAGAGTAATGGTTCAAGAATATCATTCAACCTGTCCAGACTAGCTTATTTACAACTTTTGGGCAACTTTCTCCTCTCTTTAGTCTCTTTCCCCTTCACTAAGAGATCATATTCTTTGGTCATATACTCTTAACCACATTGCCTAAAAAAAATTTTTTTAAACCTTTGCACATTATATAACATGACATCCTAATTATTTTAGCATTCAAGTTTATTTGCTATATTGAAAAAGGGAGATAGAGTTTTGATTGCTTTCAGCGTTGTTAATCTTACTAGTTCTCTTTTATTGGGTGGCAATAAGCAGAGCAAACGAAACATCTGCAGGGAAGAAACACTTTTGTTGCTTCTCATGCAACACTCTTCATCAAAGAACAGCCAGAAAATATAGCAGTATTGGTTGAAATCCGGACACTACTGCGTTTTATAGTCTTCTTACAGATCTATCTGATGTCAAATTTTATTAACCTTTTCCACTGTAATTTTTCCTCAAGGTTGAAATAACTGGATCCCAGTTACATTTTACATGGAATGTAAGTGTGTGTGTATTTGCACATGTGCGTGCACACAGTATATGTGTGTTCATATATATATATACACATATATGCAGTGTATGTGTGTATTTATTGGTACGCAACTCTATTCAAGAATTTTAATCTTCTGTGTGTGGGGAGAGAGAGAGAGAGTGTGTGTGTGTATATATATATATACACACACACACATTAAAGACTATAAAGTTCTTGAATAAAGTTGTTTATCAACAAATATGTCTTTCAGGTAATTCTTAGAATTGGGAAAGAAAGTACAATCATAACAATATTATTTCATTGAAATTGTTTCATTCAGGTGCATGCCTACTGTGTGCTTGACTCTAAGCTAGTAATGGGGAAACAGTGATAAGCAGGAAATAGTCTCTCAAGGAGCTTAAAATCTAATAAGAGAAATTAAATAGGTGATAATAACAGCTGTTTAATAGTAGAATTGTCTATATGATACTTTTATATAGTTATAATGTCAGTTCCAAAATTCTTTCAGCTAATTGAAAATGCTATTTTGTAATGATGATTTTTCTTGGTTACCTATAATAATAATCCTTTCTACTGTAGAAGTGGTGTACTTAATTGTTAGCCAGTCATGTCCAGGAAGACCAAAAATTCTAAAAATAGGCAATTATGGTTAACAATGTAAATAAGAGACAATCTTTTCATTGAAGATACATTTGCTTACATTAATAGATTCACAGGTGTATAATTTTACATACATTTTCACTTTCCCATAAGTCTTTAATATTATTGCTGTGTATTTTTGTTTTATTAATTTAAAATTAATGTATAACATATATACAGTGAAGTGTACCAATCTTAAGTATACTACTTGATTTTTCTTTAACGTTTCTATACACCCCTGTAACCACAGTCAGATCAAGATATATGTAACTTTTCTAGCACCCTAGAAGGTTCCTTCATGCCCCTTCCTATTCCATATCATACCACCATCCCAAAAGATGATCATATAGTTTTAACCTATTATTACAGATTAGTCTTGCCTGTTCTGGAATATCATGTTAACAAAATCATACAATATACTTTTCAGTCAGGCCTTCTTTTTTCCTCAACATTGACTGTGATATTCATTCATGTTGTTATATTTAATAGTAGTTTTTCTTTTTTATTGCTATACAGTATTTTTATTGTATGATAACTTTTCATTGTATGACTTCAATTTGCTTATCAGTTTTCTTGTTGATGGACATTTAGGTTGTTTTCATTTTTTCGTATCATGAATAAAACTGCTATGAGAGTCCTTGGGGGTATATCTTTAGGTATATTTCTCATAACTTGGAGTAGACTTATTAATTCATGGGGGTATATGTTTAACTTCAGTGGATACTGGCAATTTTCCCGATTGATTAAATTAATATTTCTACCAGCAGTGAGGAAGGATTCCAATTGCTTTTAATTCTTGACAGCACTTGGTATTGTTAAGGATGTGTGGGTGTTGTTGATGTTGTTCACTCTTGACAGTACTTAGTATTGTGTGTGTGTGTGTGTGTGTGTGTGTGTGTGTGTGTGTGTGTGTGT